CCGAACCTGAACAAACGGAACTGCCAATCATACAAGAAACTGCGACAGACAGCTACGAGCCTGAAAAAATGGCCAAGCCAACAAAGGCCAAGAAATCAAGAGGAAGACCAAAGAAGAAGGCAGCAGCAGAACCAGATGTACTTTTGGCAGATTCACTACCAGCTCCACCAGAGGTTGTCGAGTCTGTAACAAAACCCAAAAAGAAGCGCGGCAGGCCACGGAAATCCGATGCTAAGGAGGAGAGTCCCAAACTTGACCAGTCATTATCGACCAACGACGCTTCCTTATCTGAAGATGCTGTGCACCCAGAAAAGAGGGCCAAGAAAGAGATCGAGGAGACTGGAACCAAAGATGAACTCGCGGAAGAAGACGAGGCCCTAGTTTCGTCTGAAAATAAGCGTTCGGAGAGTCCCGCATTAGAGAAACCCGACCCTAATCTTTCCACGCGGTCTATATCCAGTATTAACGATGACACGGTATCCAAGAATTCAGATACTCCTCGTACGGCAAAGCAGGAGAAACTAGAGAAACCAACAATCAGCAGCAGAAGCTCAACACCTTCCAAGGGATTGTCATCAATCATCAACAAGCCTGTCTACCGTGTTGGATTGAGCAAAAAGTCGAGGATTGCGCCTTTATTGAAGTGTTTGCGTAAGGAGTGACGGCTCTTGGTGTTTTGACTTGGCAAAAGTCCGATGGAAACATCGTGGCTTGGCATCACTTTGTTGTTTGCGACTTATGGCTTCCAAGGCCTCGGCGAGTTGTGCTATCAGCCGTTTCCATATAATACGGGTCATGTGTGTGTAGCAAGTCTAGCACAACTCACGTCTTGTCTTGTGAAGCGTCTGCTTGTGGAGTTGGGGGGCAAAGGTGGTCTCGATGATCTGTATCAAGCATGGCGTTCTGGTAATGGAATCAAGGGGATGTTATAGCTATGGACTGCTATCATCATGAATAGAATTATTGCTTCTATTTTCAATAGAGGCCCCAGGTGCTTGCCACTTTTCAGAGCAGCACTTTGGTCAATATCTCTCTGAAAGCATTTTGCTCCTCCCTTGTTTGAACAATCCACGTGCTTGTATTCTGACTTCACCTCCCTCTCCAAACTCCCGATATCATGCATGGACTCGTCTTTTCAGCAATACTGTTGGAGTACAGGATCGGTAAACCTGCAATTCGGCTGCCTTTGCTCTGATCTTTCCGTATCAGGTACATTTTCTGCAGCCTGGCGTCTTCTCATGCTTTGCCTGGCTGGATGGTTGCCTCTAAACGGGAACAAGCAGACATGTAGATTGCAGCAAACAGATAACAAAAGCTTCATCAGAAGAAACACTCCGAAGCAAAAATGCATCAGTCAAGATCAGGCTGGCAGTTCTCTGGAAGATGGATTCTGTAAAGGCATAAATACCCCCTCTGGCCCCTGACTCTGAATCTCTTTTTTTCTTATTATCCACAACCCTGTACACTCCACTCAACTCAACCTAACTTAACTTAACTTAACTTAACTCAATTGCACTACTATACCCAACTTATCAATATAAACCTTTACCTTAATCTCAAACTATAAATCACTTTACAATGTCTAGTTAACCCAACAAGACTCAGTGGATCGACGATGCCAAGTCTTGCATTATGAGCTCCGAGGTAAGACTCCTCCCTATACCCGCTTGCATCGTATGAACAGCCTCACTAACAGTTTGATAGGCCAAGTCCGGTAACAATCCCGGTTTCTCCAAGCATGCTCAGAGCGAGGCCGACAAGAACCCTGGCAGTAAGACCCAGGGCAATAACCATGGTCAGCAGAAGAAGTAAGAAGCTCGACATGGACAGAAACTGTGTGAACCAGTGATGGAACGGTTTATTCGGCGGTAACAACGAAAGGGAGTGATCTGTGTTCTGGAAGAAGAATACATAGCCTGCGGAGGATACTTGGACTCCTCGACAACAGCATTTTGGAGGGCTAGCTTGATCAATCATAACACATCTTCTTTCCCATATCAGTTTTGTGACATTCCTTGTGAAACTTGTGAACTAATGTTGCTACAAGTGTGCCATTGTCGCTGTCTGCTTTATCACCTCAAATCACACATGACATTCAGAGTAAGCGGCTTAGAAAGTGTATCAATCAATGTGTATACTTTCGTTTTAGGGACTATGACATGCTATGCCCCTAATTTCTGTCTTCTGTTTCGAGGTATTCGTCCACATCATCCACTTCCTTCATCCACTGCCCAGCTATCAAATGCAAGTTATGTTAACAAAACCCCAAGAACGCCCTTTTCATAATGCATGCATGCCCTATGCCTTCGTTTCGTAGTTGACCACCATCCAATATCGCCTTAATCTTTCCTAATTATCGCTTAGCTTCCGTATGTTCCTGATTCTTGTTCTTCTCAATAAATGTGGTTGAGACGGCTGTTCTTAAGTTCGATTCTCTTCATCCATCTGATTTATGTGCTTCTTTACAAACTCGAATGACGAGAAGAAGATGGCATTCACGACACAGGAGCGGCCCATTGAGACACCCAGACCGCGATACATGTGACGTTTGAAGAACTCAATTTTCGGAGCTGGCTCGACCTTTTCACCCTTTGAATAGAGCAGGGAATTTCGCTGGTAGATGCTCTTGGCAGAATCGATGGGATCTACACTCGTTAATTAAACGGTTTGTTGGCGTACAAGGCGTTGCTAAACTTACAAATCATCGCCCAAGAAACCAAGCCACACATGCCTCCAGCAGCGACAACGGCCACCTTGTTGCTGTTAGGGTGATCACCAGCCAAGGTGTTTCCGATTTGTTTTCCACTTTCATATACCATGAAGTAGATAGATGTGCCCAAGGTGTCGCGAACTGCAAGTTTTGTTAGTATGTAAGAAACCAACCAACCGTGAGAGTCACGTACGAAGATGAAGTCTGAGACCAGTATATAACCCAAAAATACCCCGATGTTTGATGATGTTGGCCATTGTCCGCAAGGTACCCTTGTTCTGATAGCTAGCTGCCACGGCGTGACTACCTTTGCTGGCAGCCCGCTCAGCAAGTAGAACAGAGACCTGCGCACTAAGCTTGGTGAGCTCGAAAGGACAGGCGAGAAATGTTATGACAGAACCAGCCGTTGCGCCAGCTGCGCCAAAGCATGCGACAGAGTAAAGATTTGGGTATGTGCCATGTCGATTAACATGACCAATAATATCGAAGCCGAAATTTCGTTTCACCCAGGCCGAGTATGAGTATTTGGCACGTTGGTAAATCGAAAAAGAGACGGTGCGAACAAGCGTGATGCTTGCCATCGGGGCTGTAACGCCTGCGATGCTGGATTAGCCATTTTATGTCAAGAAACCTTGTCAATTAGTCGCGGCATACCTCGAAAGAAGCCGCCAAGCTTCTCGGCTTGATAGGTTTGGCGAACACAGTCGAGAAATCCATTATAGTGGTAGGTTTGCATGCGCGTCTTGACGCTGTCGAGTGGGAAAGCGGCGAGGGTTGAGAATACACTGGAAGAGCTGGCGGCGATTTCGGTTCGGTATCGTTTGATGAAACGGTTGGAAGGGCTATTTTGCGCTGCAGTAACGGCGGCGCCTGTCGCAGTTAGAACCGTCGTCTCGCCATCGCGTCGTCCTCCAGCGCCGGTAGACATGCTGATTGCAGAAGTTGTAGCTGGAGCAGACAGTGATGACAATTGTGATTGATGGCCTGTGACATCTTGGTGAACCAATTTGGCTCCAGTAGTCATTGCTTCCTCCCGCTCCCCGGGAAAGAGAGTGATTGAGGCTCAGACCGGAGCACCGAGCGAGTATCGGTTTGCGAGGTCCGTATGTGGGATGTTTTGTATGACCAAAGTTAGAGCTTTATTTAGAGGCGCGGTCGAAACACGGCCTTTCGCGGACAGCCGCAGGGTCCATTCAGACTTGGGGCACCGAATAGTTGAGTGCAGAGACAATTAGACACAGATCGGAGGTCGGGAGGCGGAACGGCGGGCGAGATATCGGTAGGTATCGGTGGTGTGTGGCTCGTCTTGTCTCTGCACGGGCTCGGGCATCCGGGTGCCCTCGGCAGCAACAATGCTATATAGATGGCGGATCCAGCAAGAATTCAATCAATGGGAGAAGTGATTAGATGGATGGAAAGATGAAGCAAAGGTTAAGGTCTGTGACGAAAGGTGGAGTATTGCGCATAGCACTTTATGTAAAGTTGCCTGCTGCTACGAAACAATTGGTGCAGTAGATCTTGACCTACTCTACGGTAGGCGGGGGTCATGCCTCCCAGTTTTTGATTGCTCTTTTTTCGGTATCAAACTTCCAAATCACCTGCAACCCAAAACTTGGGACCGCGGGGCTTGACCGAGCATCCACCCATTCTACGGATCTCTCCCAAATCAACTTTGATACAATATAAGTTTTTGTTATGTTCGTTACTAAACAATATCTGAATATCAATTGCATGTTGTTTTCTTCACATATCCGTCGTTGCTCCACTATGAGCTGCATTAACTGCCGATGGCTGTCTCATACATCACATGTTTTTAAAAGAGCTACCTACTGTTTCGTTGCAGTACCAATATCAAGCTCTTTTATTGACTACTTGATCACTATTTGCACCTAAATTTGGTTTCGATCCTCTAATATCGTTCATAAACAGCTTATTCTAGAAACATGTCATCCCATACTGCGATTCCTCTCGCCAAAAGTCGCAAGTGAAAACATCTAAATCATGTTACTGTACCCGACACCTCAGGTTATTAGACGGACTTCAATGTCCGGATAAGTGCATCTTGACTTGATCCAATGACGGTCATCAGAAATCCTCTCACCCCGCATTCACAAACAACACTTGAATTGGGGTTGGACAAACGCGTTTACCTCAGAATCAAAAGACCTCTTACCCGCTCCATAGTTGCATTTTGCGGGCGACAAACCCTCCACCAGGGCCTCGAAACTCCCATGATCGACACTTGACTATGCACTGAGCCGTCCAACTCCAGCCGACATGCAGACCCCCGTTACTCATCAAACCTAGAAGCAGTAGCTGACTCGGTCGATTCCTGCTCCTTACGCCTCACAGGCGCATTTCTCTCATACTGTCCAAGATCACACATGTAGGATATTAACAAAGTCGCTTTCTGTATGAATACAGCAGCGACTTGTATTTCAAACAGGGCTTGGACCATCATTTGCCAGCTCGCATGATGTTGTACTGATACTGTAATGTATTCTACTCGGATGAAAGACGTCATCCATCCTCTTATGAGGATTGACAAGATGACGAGATCGCCATGGTAGACCTGCTCACGTCTCTCACTCGCGAATTCACTGATGTGAGGTCTGCAGCAGGGCTCGGCTTGCCTCTGGATGGTCCGTTCCCCGGCGAGCTCAACAAGATAAAGAGAGCTCGACGAAATCGCAGATCCTAGGTCTTCTAGACTACATGTGCCATACGCCATTGTCTCTTTTTACTCAAGAGCCGGTGGCCTCCTCAGCTGGCGTATTTTCCGCCGGCGTCGCCTGGCCCGTAGTGCCATCGTCGGGAGTGGCATAGCTTCCCATGAGGCGTTCCTCCTCCTTCCTTGAACGAATAACCTCTGTTTCCTGGCGAAGCTTTTGCAGGTTCCAGACATCATCGTCATCTTCGTCTTCGGACTCGTCGTCGCCCCTCCATTTTCCGCTCTCGAACATAGCACGACCAGTGTTCTCCTTAGCACTGCGTGCCTGTTCCTCAGCGGCCTTCTTGTCAAGTCGATCCTTCTTCCACTTGGCGAAAGACTCAGGTGTCACAGGCGTCAGGGTTCCTGTCAATTTGTGTCGTTCAGATTCCAAGAAATCTTCCAGTGTCAGAGTCTTAAGCGGTGATTTATCCATGAGCGCCTTCTCTGCTGCTCTCTGTTCCTTAGTCTTGAGAACAAATCTACATTGTTGTTAGTGATTATTGCAAACGCATTGAAAGACAACACATACCCAGGTGGAAGAGCGTGCTTGTACTTGCACTTATCTCCTCCGTTGGGGCAGATCCAGAACCAACCATATTTGCCATCCTCAATTGCCTCGATGAAGAATTTGCATACTTTGTCAGTGGTGGTCTGCTGGTTGCCCTTCTTTGACAAGACAACACTTCGGAGCTTGTCTTCGTCCCAATCTGCTGAAGTCTCGGCCTTCTTCGTTTCTTCTTCATCTCCTCGTTGATCGGTGTACAGGTTCTTCTTCTCTGTCTTGCGCTCCACGGAAAGGTCGTGCGAGAACTTGCACTTCTTGCCCTTTTCACAGTTGCCTTTCTTGTAGAAGATACACACAACCGTCTTGGGATCGACTCCGAAAGGCACCTTTTGAATCTGAGCTGGCTTGTTGATCATGGCCTCCATATCCCTCTTGGCATCCTCAGCCGCCTTCTTCTCACGCTCTCGGGCCGCCTTCTCGGCTTGCTTCTTCTTTTCTTCGGCTGTACCACCATTCTGGAGGTTTGCCTGCATACGCCCGATTTCCCTCTGAGCAGCACCACCCTTCTTATTCTTCATACCAAAAGTTCGGTCCTCGACCGTCTTGGTCGCCTTCTTAGGCTGAGGTTCTTTACCCTTCTTAGGAGCCATGATGGGCAATCGGTGGCGGGGTAATCGGGAGACAAAAAGAAAATTCGATGGTATCTGAACGTCCGAACCCGTCGATGAGGTTTCCTACGGTTGTATATACTCGCAGTTTCGTTCTGGTGATGGTATGAGGCAAAGCCACCAAGTCTGGGTTGAAAAAAAGACGGATGTCCAAGATTGCTGATAGTTGGTGGGCTGGGCTGCCTTGGTGGAGGATGAAGTCACAGGTTAGTCACGTGTTGGGCTTAAGACTTTTCTTGATGTCAAGTACTGACCAATTATGCCAGTTTTAGCGGTCACAGTAGATCCATACATTCTTTTTTAAAGTTCTGTTGAGTGATTATATGATAACATATGCTTGTTAAATTCAATCGACACATATTTATAGTATGGTTTCTTGTAACTTCAAACCATTTACATCAATTGCATAGGGCTTGGCCAAAGGACCTGAAGACATTCATCATACAGTGGGGGATAGTGAATCTTTCAACTGCGGGCCACGCTAAGAGATAATCCCAGTAACAGTGTACGTACCTCCACCACGAACGGGACAGTTAGAGCTCCATCTGGCCAGTTGAAGCTCACTCTCCATAACATCCATCTACAGCATCGTGGACCGTACACGCTTAGACTATCAAAGATCACCCAGTCAATTACAGGATTTATTTTATTACACACAAAAGTCTACTTTGAGTTGAATACCCTGTAAGTATTCACAACACGACGTGGCCTCTCGCGCATGGGCAAGCACTAACCGTGGATTCGCAAGCTTCCCAGTCCTACCTCGATCGACTTACTACTCCCCTCAACCGCGACCATGATTACCGACGGCCAGCTCTATCAACTAGCCATCTTCTTCGGCGTCGCGGCAATGCTTCTTATTCTCATCTACCATTTCCTCGAAGTCAACGCTCCGAAAAGCACAGTTGCAGGTGGCAAGGAGGGGGCTTCAAAGTCGCTATGATCGCGCATTCGCGACGACTGTGCATTCTATAATTTCACGAATGGGGATATCCAATTTGCAGAAAAGTACTGCTCGGCGTTTAGGAGAACTCTTCGAAAGATCGAACAACGTACCCACAACGGAGAGCTTGGGCTCGATATGACCAAATCAGGGGCCGCATAGAACCATTGTTGGACGGGATTTGATTATATTCAATACAGTGTTGAACAATTCCTACCGAATCTCAAAATGCTTACCGTGTTCCCCGGAACGGATCTCATACAGTGATGCCGATAGTGACGCACCATAATATCAACGTTCTGCAGACTAATTTGGCTCGACCTGAGTTGCTTTCCAGGCAGCTTCGCGGAGAAGTTCTTTTGGATTATTGATCGCAAAGCAAAAGCGTGTGAACTCTTTCCCCTTTTGTGTACGGAGCTGTTCAGCAATCGCGATGTGCTGTTTCGAATAAAGTAAAGATTGTTTGCAAGCTGTCCCGTCAATGCACTGCCACCTCTTTAGTGGTCTTGTCCTAGCTACAGAGCTTTGTCTTGTCTTGTCCTCTGCGTAACAAAAAACTTGACTCTGACAACATACAGAATAAAATAACACAGTCACTATACGGCTTATTTAACCCGTGCTTAGACGGTTTATTTCTTATGATGATTCACCACGCTCTAAACTTTCTGACACCTTTTCAAGCTGCCTTTTGATTGGCCAGGTCGACTCGAATTTGTGGCTGTGGTGGCGCATGTGCCTGGAGCTGAAGGTAACAGCATTGATGCAAGAGCGAGGAGGCAGCACCTACTCCGTTTTCCTGTCCCTACCTTTTGTCGCCTTTCTCCCTCCCTCCCTCTTCCTTCATCCCCAAACTTCAACCTTCAACCATCAATCTACGCCCACTCTCAAACCCAACCCAAATAATTTCTTTCTTAATCTCGACCGCTTAATCACGTACGCGGGTCTTTTTTTTCTTCATCTCGAGTCTATCAGACTTTATTATTCCAGCTTCCGCAACTACATTCTCTTCGACCAACGCGACTTTCGCGCCATCGACGTCAAGACTTCTCTTCAGTCCTTATTTGACCTTTTCGTCGCACGTTTACAAATAACACATCACAATGTCTGGCAAGCTCGACCAATCTCTTGACGACATCACCCAGGCCCAGCGCCGTGGTGCTCGCCGTCGCTCCAACCCGCGCCGTTCTGCTGGACGCCCAGCCGCGGCTGCTCCTATCGGTGGTATCCAGAAGAACACCAAGCCCGCACGCGGTTCTGGCGCAAAGCCCGTCCCGGCCAAGGCCGCTCCCAACAAGGACAGCAAGATCATAGTGAGCAATCTGGTAGGTTCTGCACAAGGCTCTGTATGCATGGATTTTGCTAACAATTCTTTCAGCCTAAGGACGTCTCGGAGCAGCAGATTAAGGTATGTTTCCGCTGTGCCTCTTAAGGCCCTCGGACTTTGTTCGACCTTTTATTCTTCGCCGCTCTCATTTTTTGCCTTCGACGTCGCGTCTGTCCGACTAGTTTGTCGATTCGGCCTGGAGCTATCGGACGCCTACTCTCCTTCCTCGACTTGGTAAAACCTGGAAACGGTACATTGTCGGAAGTCGAGAACATCCTTGTCGCGCAATGATCTTGAAGGAAACGCCTGGTCAGCGTTCCTTGCCTGTGTAGCGTTGATCTTACAGGATGCGGGTTGTCATTACCGATGTGCGCATTCCACCAGCCAAAGGACAACAGGGATTCCTCAGGACGTTGCCATTTGGAATCCCGCATCAACTTCAGCAAGCGAGCAGTGAGCACATGCAGCAGATGCCCCTCGAAGATATTCTGAAACGAAGTCGTGTTGGCTTAAAGCCAGTTCAAATTGGGGAACGAAGAACTATGTGTTTATTGTTCAGCAAATCTTTTTGGATACTACGTGAGCAGTAGTAAAACTTGGGTTGGGTCCCTGAGTAGTGGGCCATTCGGAATGAGAGCCATGTGGGTGTGGTCTCGTATGCTTCGACTGATCTTAAACCTTCAGGTGACAGATCGGGGGTTCAAGCTGTCTCGCTGCTCTGCTTGCTGTTCAACATCACGACTACCAAATCTTGGCGATGTAAAATTCTCCCGGACCTGGAATGACCAAGGCTCGGAAATGGAATGACGAATTTTGTTCAACCATACACTTCGGAATACTGACGCTTTTCTAATAGGACTATTTCATCCAGTCCGTTGGACCTATCAAGCGAGTAGAGCTTGTCTACGGCCCCAACTCACAGAGCCGCGGTGTCGCCAACGTGACCTTCCACAAGTCCGATGGCGCTAGCAATGCCTTCCAGAAGTTGAATGGTCTTCTTGTCGACAACCGACCAATCAAGGTATGTTACCCATTGCTTCTGAACTTTTCGATAGCTAACAGAACTAGATTGAGATCGTCGTCGGGGCTGCTCAGGCTGACAAAGTCATTCCTGCTGCCAAGACCCTCGCTGAGCGTACTTCGTAAGTTATTGTATCTTCATACGCGAATACCTCTAACAACGCAATAGTCAGCCCAAGTCCCAGGCCAAGGCTCAACCCAAGTCCGCTGCTGCTGACAAGCACACCGCCGGTGCCGCCAAGGGAGCCGCGAAGGGCGCTGCCAACAAGAAGCGCCGCGGTCGTAGCAGTCGTCCTGCAAAGAAGACTCAAGAGGAACTCGATTCAGAGATGGCTGACTACTTTGTCGCCCCTGCCCCTGAGGTTGCTGGCAACACTGCTGCTCCTGCTGCCGCACCTGCTGCCACTGCTGATGCTGATATGGATGAGATCGCTGTATGTATTGTATCTCTGTCTGTGTTTCAAAAGAAAGCAATGCTAACCATGACATCAGTAAACTCAGCAACTTGTAATGATGGCGATGAGGGAGAATTAATAATAAAATACCACAAATTTGGCTGATGGTTTATGGAGGGTTTGCGATGGTTTGGTTATCCAGTTTTACTGCTGCATTAGATTAACTTTAGGGAGTTAACGTATCACTTTTGCCCTGCTTTTGAATACTTGATTTTATGACTTCGCCCAAATATGGTAAAAAAGATGATGATAAGTTCGTGCTGTCTGCCTACACAAATCGCAAGTATGCAAAAAGGTTGGCTATATGTCACTGCCGTGGATGAATAGGCGCATTGCATGTACGTGGTATGTCTTTCTGCAAGTCATGGGATCATTCATGTTCACACGGCATGCTCTACAAGCATATGCAAGTGAACAAGTCATAGGTTAACGATTTTTCCATTTTTTTGCTTCCATATCGAAACAGGCAATGCAGTGCAAACTACATATCCGAGAAATAAGCCTGCCTTGATAGGCACAACGCCAAAGTTACCCAGCCTAATCCTGTGCTATAGTTCAGAAATGCTCGCCTTTGGCAACGTCAAACAATCATATTTGTTGGATTTAATCCTTCTTCTCAGTAGCGGCAGCAGCGGGGACGGCGTCCTTCTTGTCGTCACCCTCGAGCGCGGGCATGTCTTCGTCGTCGCCCTCTTCCTCGTCGAGTTCACCCTCAGCGCCGGGGAAGCCAGCACCGCCTCCCAGCTTGGAGAAGTCAATGCCGCCAAAGTCACCACCCATGCCGCCCATACCGCCCATACCACCCATGCCGCCACCCATGCCGCCCATATCAGGCATGCCACCACCTGTTTGTATGTCAGTTTGTTGTTGTTGAGTGTGGTTATGTTGTTCAACTTACCCATACCACCGAACTGAGAGAAGTCGTCCTCAGGGGCCTCGTTCTGCTCATCCTCATCAACCCACTTGTCGAAGTCTGTCTTGAGGAAGTGGACGCGCTTGGAGTCCTTGAGTAGTCTGGGCCAGTACTCGTTCTTGAGCTCCTTCTTCTGTAGCTTTATTTCAACGTTCTTGGAAGTGTGGTTGATCTTGCTCTCTGCGGGGTCGATCTCGCCCCAGAGCTCAAGCTCAACATGGTACTTCCTCTTGAGAGTGGATGAGGTTCCAGTGAAGTTGAGCTTGGTGGGCTGAAGGTCGAGGTTGATGTTGTCCTTGGGCACATCAGGGACGGAGATGGTGAGGTAGATGAAGTTCTTGGAAGCTTCAGACTCGGAAGATCGCTGAGCCCAGAGGACTAGAGAAGAGTTAGCATGTGATTTCATACGGGCATTGTATGTGTGCGCAAGAAGCGATCACGCTTGAAACCACCACGAAAAATGTTGGCAGCATATGCGTCAAGACTTGCATCAGGGAGAGGGGAATACGAGGGCGAGGCTAGGGGTGAGTAGCGACGTACCTTCGGGGTAAACAGTGTCAGACATTGTGAAGGAAAAGTCTTTAGGGTATCTTGAGTATCGTGAAAAGGACGTTTGTCGTGAAGGAGTAAAAAACAAGAGATAAGAAGAAAGGCGAAAGATTCAGATGATGCAAGGCGAATGGAGACGAGCTGGTCGAGTTTTTGGTGGGCGGAGCGGAGGAGTTGCAGTTTTAGCTCCTACTGCATTCTGTAGGTCCTTTGTCCCTATTAGCAGCTACTAATGCTTTGCTGCAGGCAGGCGTGAGGCTTGCACGGTCTGTCGCTGGTCACAGGCGGGATGGTAGAATGTCTAAGAAGGGGAGAGAATGGAGGGGCAATAGATGCGGGGGTACTTGAATCGACAGGCAAATCCAGTGGCGGGAGAAGTACACTGCTATCGCCTTCGTCAAGGTGCCCACTCTGACGTTTGTCTCTATCCCGCCCCTTGAAAATCACCGGCGCTTCCCCACTGTTAACGGGCTGGAACTCCTAGAAGGTACTGGAGCTTTGTCGCCTTGAATTGGAGGTTGGTGATGAGATGAGCGGTTACGAGATGCTTCCAGATCTGATGGAGCGAATCCATGGGTTCAATTCTCAATAATAGGGTTTAATTATGAAATATGTCCCTCTACTAGCTGCCCGAATTCCGAAACCCCTCATATGCAGAGGATTTCGTTCAATGGCAGCCTGGGACAGGACCTACACGCGGTCGGCATCTGGATGGCGGGGTAAGCAGGCGAATGAATAATATCAGTGCCAGTCTCAAGCACTTTGATGAGCAGTATGAAGATCGCAAATCCTCAAAAAGTATCTGCGCAGGACTACCAGAATGCAGCTAATTTCAATGGCTGGCTTTCCCAACCGAGAACCCATGATGTTTAAAGTTGAACTTCTAAAAAAGAATGATAGCTCTACGTTGCTCCAGGTTCTAAGACCCCGAATTGGTGGTGCTTCCACTAAACAAGTCCCCTGTCCCTTTTTACGCTTTCCGAGCCAATCAGATCTTGGCTTTGTCTGTCCAACTCAGCCTTGAGGCTTGCACACGAGCGAGCCTCACCACCATGACCCAACATCATCTAACAACTAGCTGCGGCTAATTCAACTGCATCGAGACACTTGTCATTCTAATATACTTCTGGTGGTGTATTTTGAATTTTAGTCTTTCTATATCGACTTTCGCCCCCAGCATACATCCTTACGCGACTCGTCTATTCCGCCATCAGTTCATTTCCACGGTTGCGTCATTGGCTCGGGCATTTCACTCCCTATCTACCACCTCTTCGTACATCCAACCGCCATCATGGAAACGTTTAAATCTCTCTTCGCTAAGCCTGATCCTCAGGCTCAGGTATGCACCGCCAGCCCTTCTCGTTCAACATGGCATCCTGACATAACCGACCATTCTAGATGCGCAAATGCAATGCATTGATGCGGCAAAACATGCGCAAGCTCGATCGCGACATCCAAACCGTTAAGCAAGTCGAAGCAAAGACCAAGAATCTCATTATTCAAGCCGATAAACGAGGCCAGCGCGATCCCTCTCGCTCCCAACAAGCTCAAAAAGAAGCCCGCGACTTTGCACGTGAGCTCGTTCGCGCTCGCAAACAATCGCAACGCCTGGTCACATCAAAGGCGCAGCTCTCCTCGGTGCAGATGCAGGTCAACGAGGCCTTTGCCGTGCGAAAGATCGAGGGATCCATCCGGGCGAGTGTCGGTATCATGAAGGATGTCAACTCGCTTATCCGCCTGCCCGAACTGGCGGGGACCATGCAAGAACTGAGCGTGGAGTTGATGAAGGCGGGCGTTATCGAGGAGATGGTCGAGGATGTACTTCCCGCGGACGGAGACATGCTTATGGAAGATGAAGAGGCCGAGGGTGAGGTGGAGAAGGTTCTAGGAGAAGTCCTCAAGGACCGCAAGCAACCCAGTCTCCCTGTCGCGCCCATGCCAGAACCCCAGAAGCCTCAGGAGGAAGAGGAAGAGGAGGAGGATGCAGAGGCTATGATGGATCAGATGCGCAACCGATTAGAGGCGCTTCGCAGTTAGAGAATTTTGGTGGCATGAGACTTGGTTGGTTAGTTACTGTTTGAAGGTGCCAGTTGCTCTTAAACATGGAAGGAGTTGGGGGAGTTTGGCGTATCTGCAGTTTTGCATACATTCGATACTACGAAGTCTTTGAAGCTACAAATCACTGTGAGTCCTGTAGTTCTCTCGGCGATAAGATATATAACCACATTTCACGTTCGCATCGAGCTGCCATCGGCACCGATTAAGCCTATTCGTTATCGACTATTCGTATGTCGAATGTCTTGAATTCTTGCGGTTCGCTATTAACGTTTGCTTCTATCGTTAACTAGCCCACACCAGTGGTTCACAGACAGCCTTTCCGTAAGGTACCCTCCACTAGGGAGCATTTAGTTTGTGTCCGTTCATGTTGTGGTTGCAGAAGATGGGCTGATGCTTGCGACTCGGTCTATATTTGAAGAGAGGAACGCATTGTTCTCACAGTAGTATTCCATGCTATCATATGTGGCATTGTTGCAAAAGTGTATCAACATATTGTTGTGTCTTGTTGTTACAACTGTTCAGGTTCCTCCCATCTAGACACAATACAAGGAGACGACTCCGGGAGACCTGAATTCTTATATTTTTCTCACTCTTGATCGAGAGTTCCGAACATTTCATCGGGATTGTAGCTTTTTTCATGCTACGTACGAGTCGAGAGACCAAGATCGGACTTCACTTCTCTATATAAACATGTTCAGGCTGTAGAGATCTAGAAGTATACAACAGGGTGAACTTACATTCAGTAGTTTATACACAAGTCTTCCTCGTCATGCAACATGACAAAGCCTCTGTCACAGCCTGCCTCTACTAGCGTGTCTGCCTGATAAGGCTGAGGTTGACCTGGATGATTCAGTTTTATTCACTTGCGTCTTCAACTCATACATCATGGGCACCCCCATACAGTTGTTTATTGTCAGACATCGTTTGGCTTGAATTCTATCTTCTTGGAATACAAACTGATATATTTAGAGCAGCCCAGGTCCCAAGGTCAAAGTATACATATGGGCAACACTATCCCATTCTATTGTGCGTTTAATGGAAGAGAGTCCAGAATTCATATTCAACAAGTAGTTGCGATTTCTAAGTCTTCTCTTCGATCTGAAAATTCTACTTTGATGGACGAAAGTTGAACTAGGCAGACAAAAAGACTGGCCTATCAATATTCACATTCCAATTCCTATTATGTGTCTCCTTCTCTTCTGGGCATTCTTGCTCAGCCTGCAATAACTCATTTTATGCGGGATAATAGGATTTCCATTTAAAATACACCAATGGAATTATGGGAATATACAGAACAATACCAATTCACCATCATTGTGGGAAGTAGACTTACCCTAAAGCTCAATACCCAAAGTAGCTCGCTAACCCAGCCCAACCTCAACTCACTCAAGTTTACGATACATAGGCAAATAATATTTGTTTCGGTCAGGTCGGAGGCACCTCGTCAGAGCACGGCAGTTCCATACAAAAAACAGGTAAATTTGCGGTATGTGTTGTTCCTCACATCACATGTCTTCTCAACATTACGGGTCGGACACACGTAGATAGCCTCACCACCA